AAAGGTATTGGGCGCCTGGGTGGCTCAGTTGGTTAAGCGACTGCCTTCGGCTCAGGTCATGATCCTGGAGTCCCGGGATCGAGTCCTGCATCGGGCTCCCTGCTCGGCAGGGAGTCTGCTTCTCCCTGTCCCACTCCCCGTTTGTGTTCCCTCTCTCGCTGTGTCTTTCTCTGTCAAATAAATAAATAAAATCTTAAAAAAAAAATATTAAAGGTATTAAAAGTAATGAAGGTAAGGATGATTAAATATCTAGTGTTTTGAACTACACATAAGTCACAGAATTCCTCATCCGTAAAGTCATAATGTGGCTCCCTAGAGCAGGAAGAGAAACATGACTGATAGAGGAAACATACTACAGAGAACGGACATTAATTCCTTAGAGCAGGAGTTGGCAGACTAAAGCCTGTGGACCAAACAGAGCTCACCACCTGTTTTTTATTTCTCTCTCTTAGAGAGAGAGAGCGTGAGAAAGCATGAGGTGGGGGGCAGAGGGAGAGGGAGAGAATCCCAAGCAGGCTCCACACTCAGCTCGGAGCCCAATGCAGGGCTCAATCTCACGGCCCTGAGGTCATGACCTGAGCCAAAAATCAAGAGTCGGACACTTAACCAACTGAGCCACCCAGGCGCCCCTCACCACCTGTTTTTTAAATAAAGTTTTATTAGGACACCACACTCACTCACTCATGTATTGTCTATGGCTGCTTTCACACTACAGAGGCAGTGTTGAGTAGTTGCAACAGAGATATTGGGCCTGTAAAGCCTAAAACACTCACTATCTGCCAAGCCCTACACACAAATTGGGCATCCTCCAAAGAAGGAGATAAGAAACCTCGGGTGTTGAAAAGCAAGTTACTAGCAGTACCCTTCTTTCCTTTAGTAGGAGAGAAAGGTTGTGTGGAGACATATAATCCTGAATTTGCCAGAAGATTCCGCTGTTCTGCTCATAATATTTTGGCATACTGGATAAGGAGTCCTGTGACATTCTTTCTCATGAATATGGACTGTGTGTATAAACTATATAGTTGAAAATGTATGTTTTACAAAAATTTATTTAGAGAAATATAGTATAGATAACTAGATGTAAAGATACAGAGCAGAGAAGGGAGAACAAGTACTGTGTGGCATAAGCTGATGGATGAGATAATGGCCAGAAAAATGGTGTGAAATACCCAGTTAGAACCAATAAACAAGGCAAGCATCCTACAGTAGAGCTAAGACAGTTGTGGAGATATCGCACGTAAGCCCCCACCTTGCTAAAGGCTGGGATCAAGAGTCCACATTTCTCACAACTCCTTCATGTTTTGTTATACAAATATGAGGGAAGAAACACTTTTTAGAAAAAAAGGAATAGCTCATCAACTGCTCCATCTCTGGATTTCCCACAGCTCACCCTGGCCAGGCACTCATCTATCCGGGAATCCAGAAACCTACCCAGACCTTCACACCACCAGGCAAGCTCAGAGCATTGTGAGCTATACATTTACCCTCCCTCTTCATATCTCCTTTTTTGGTACCCTGGGTGGAGATAAAAATAATAAGTCACCTTTGAAATACCTCAGTATTTCTTTCAGTAAAATTGCCTTAGGGCACAACTGTCTGCCATGGAGAACAAGATAAGAAACCTTAATTAAGGTTTGGAAATTGAAAGCCAACATATAGTTCTCTAATTCTTCCCAGCGACTACCATAAAACACATTGTTGTCTTATGGTAAATTTTGTTTTGTACTTGGCAGTTTCTAAAGCAGCTTTGTATTATTCTAATCTACTCAGTGTTGCATTAATGAGCACACCACTCTCTTCCAACACAGATCAAGCCCTGTGACCTGCACTTTGCAGAGTGGGAAACAGAGGCTTCACACAGTTCAAGGAGACTCCCAAGATTGCACAATTCAGGACGAAATAAAAAAGTTATTTGACTTGTAATCCAGTGTTCTTTTGACTATGCCATGTGGCCGCCCAGGAGTCCAGAAAAACAAACTGCTAGAAACTGATGGTATGGACTGACTTATGACCCCCTCAAATTCATGTGTTGAAACCCTAACCCCCAATGTGACTATATTCAGAGATGGGACCTAAAGGAGGTAATTAGGGTTAAATAAGGTCATATGTGTGGAGCCCCGAGATGATAGGACTAGTGCTCTTATAAGAAGAAACCCCAGAGATCTCTGCCTCTCTCCACTATGTAAGGACACACCACCAAGAAGGCAGGGGTCTGTAAGCCAGGAAGAGAGCTTTCCCCAGGAACCACATCACTCAGCACCTTGATCTTGGACTTTCAGCCTCCAGAACTGTGAGATATGAATTTCTGTTGTTTAACAGTCTATTTTATTTTTGTTATGGCAACCTGAGCAGACTAAGATACACTACTAAAATTAACATTAAAGTGAGGAAAATTCTGGAAAAAGAAAAAACCCATAAAGTGCTTACTACAGTGCAATCTATACTAGATAATATTTAAATTAATTTGAATTCAAAATACTGGCAAAATAAAAAAAGACCAGTGGTGAAATTTCTTCTTCTAATTGCTTTGAAACCATCCATTCAAGACACACAACCCTGAAGACAATGTTAAAATAGTGGATAGTGAGTTAAGTATCTTTAAAGCCAGAGAGGGCCTGGCTCTATCAAGGAGGCCTTGGTGGGGACACCTGGGTGGCTCAGCTGGTGAAGCAACTGTCTTCGGCTCAGGTCATGATCCTGGAGTCCCAGGATCGAGTCCCGCATCAGGCTCCCTGCTCAGCAGGGAGTCTACTTCTCCCTCTGACCTCTCCCCTCTCATGCTCTCTGTCTCATTCTCTCTCAAATAAATAAATAAAAATCTTTTTAAAAATATTAAATTAAAAAAAAGAGGCCTTGGTGTTCTGCGGGGGATAAACAATCATGGAACATCAACATCAAACAAGGTCACTCTGTGACCGTGATGGGTCAGGACAAAAACAAGGCAACTCCATGACTGTGTCTGAATGTAGACAAAATATGAACATTGCCCAAACCGTACAATACCTAACAAGAACATTAGCCCTTTCCCGGCTATTACAAGCGACTCCCACTGCTCTACCAATTACTGAGAAGTATTGGGGTACTCAATCATAGAATCGCCCCGCTTCCTGACAGCATCCAATCCAGAGCAAAGCCCTGCCTCCTTACACCCTCCCCATCTCAGCTAGCACAAGCCCAAATCCTGTTCATTCTTTTCTAGCCCCTGAGCCACTCCATGGTTTCCCAGTCTGTCCCAACAACAAGGAATACACCAGCCTCGGTCTTATGGAACCACGGGACCACGTGCCCCACTACAGCAGCTCCTCGCAGTCCTCGGCTGGAGGGCGCTGACCAAGGACAGCTGGGATAACATGGCCCCGACCTGCACCCGCCCTGTTTTGTTAGTCTCCAGAGAGCCCCTTGGTGAACAGATTTTTAAAACTAACAGAGCTTGGGATTCTAACATTATAATCCCACTGTCGAGTTTCTTTGTTTTTCCTTTTGTTTTAAAGTGAGACCGAAATCGGACTCAAACATGTATCAAGGGAGTTAGTTCATCACACTTTGAATTTTAAAGAACCGTAAGGTTCCTCCGTAGCCAACAACAGCTCTCTCTGTACTGGCTGTATTTCCTCTCAGAGATAGGAACCCAGTTCATAAAGTAAGGAACATCAAATGTGGTTTTTGTATTAATTGAAGACATTTGTCGTTTTTTCTGCTCAGCACTCCTTCCCCACCCTCCGTCCCCCTTCCGGCTAACACAAACTTTCTTTCCTGCAGGGAGCTCCCTAAAGCTGTGTGTGTTGGGGTCACACACATGCGCGGACAGTAGGGGTGAACATGTGACCTTGCTCTGGCCAATCAGAGTACCTCCTTCCCCTTGCCATACTGATTGGTTCACGGAGGGCAGGTAATCCAGGCCTGGCCAATCCTGGGACTGTTCTCCGATACTATGGTAACGTGGCTGCTTCCGGCCCCTGCCCCACGTGCTAAGCTGGTAGCGTGCTCATTTGTGGCTGCCGATGGCTAGCTCGGTTACCGCCTGCAAAGAGGTTGTTTATGAAGACGGAGATAGAGCTGACATCGTTTGAGCCGCTAGATTCAGCACCCTTCTGTTTCCCAGTTATTTAAGTCAATAAATTAATTCTTTTATCCTTAATTAGTTTGGGTAGAATCTACTCATTTGCAAACAAAAAAAGAAATGACTGAATATAACTGCAAGTTTGCAAACTGACCCAAACCAATTTTTCTGTTCAGCACTACCAGGTTCTCTTACACATTGGTAGCCTCCTGCGTTTGCGGGTGGACATTGGCCATAGTCCTCACCCTCTCAAGTAAACTCGTTACTGGATGGTATATAACCATGAGAGCAAGTAAAGACCGGATTCTGGTAAACCTACATTGACTGATTAGCAAGTAGACACAGAAGGAGTAAAAGAACCCGTTCTTGTACACCCAGGGAGGTCTGTGCCATCTTGTGACGAGTGTCTTACATGGAAGATTCTGTCCAAAGTGGACACAATGATATTAGGACAGCAAGAACAGCTCATTTTTAGGCAGAACGCTTTGTGAGTGAGGGGGCCAGGATGAAACACCAACAGAGCTGTGGACTTGGTGTGCTCTTCCAAAGGTGCCGGGTGGCTGGGCTTCATCTTCAACATCACTCATTTTATGATTGAAAAATTATTGTCATTATACTAATTTATTATATAAATTGTACTAAATTGTGCTATAATTTATAATATCACTATGCTAACTTATGAATCCAACTCTGGACTATAAACTCCTCTCTGGTGTCATTCCAAAGCTAACCATCTCCAAAGCGTGGGTTTCTGAAAAGGGGACTTTAAATGCTATCCTACCACCTCTGGGACATAGAATAAAACGAATTTAACATTTGAATACATCCCATTGTGCACAAAGAGAATATAACACACACCAAACCTTAATCTTACTGAAAAGCAAATAAATCCAACATCTTACGTAGAAAATTTTTCATCTAGTCTGAGCCTTGAACATACCACAAAGACAGGATCGTTGGCAGCAGAATGTGGCAAAGCACTTGTCCCATTCAAGAAGGAATGAACCAAGTTATGTAGGCTCATCACTTGAGAGTCCAGGTTGCTGTTCGCTTTATCAAACCCTTCCAGGGCATTCCTGAGAGAAAATCAGTATGTCAGTGACAACAGTTACAATTGATAAAGGTCTCCTTTTTTTGTTTCCAGCCTAAATAACAGTCTTCTGACTTGAGATGGGGAAGCTCTGTCATAGCTAATTAACTACAAATTAGTCCCAACTTTTAATGATGATCTTCCATCAGGGGAGGGAACTCTTAATCAATGCTTACTTTCTGCACCTGCTCAGTTGGATTATACCTCTTTTATATACTGTATGACAATTCTATACCTTCATATCTGTCCCCCCCCGGCCAGACTATGAAGTCCTAGAGGACACAGACTGTTTTCTCCAGATTTTTATTGCCAGAGCTCAGTACCATGCCCAGCACATGGTCTGTAATCAGAAATATTTTTTGAATTAGCATATAACCTCATATCCCATTTCTCAACTAAATAGACCTCCAGCTTGACTGTAACATATTCAGCATTCTAAATGCATCCCCAAATTCCACTTATCCTTGTCTTTTTCTCCTCCCCATTTTTAGGAAATTCAGATTGTCCTTATCCTAACTCAGTGATCCTCAAATTTAAGTATACATGGGAATCACTGGAGAGAAAGACATATTTCATGCCCCACTTCAGAGTTTCTGACTCAGGAAGTGTGGGCCGGTTCTTCACAATTTGTGTTTCCAACCAGCTCCCAAGTGATCCCAGTTACAGTAGTCTGGGCCCCACACTTCGATAACCATTCCCTGAACTCAAATCTATAAAGCTTGCACTCCATTTCAATAGCATTTTTACTACCGTGAAAAACAAACGTATGCTCCTTTTCAAACAATCTTAAATGTCAGCCTTTATAGGACCATTGCCACTACCCAGAGCTGGGTCCAACTGCCACACAGACCCTGAGCTCTGCTGCGCTTGGCACAGCCTCTGCATGTTTCAGTTTACCCCACCTCTGCCCCAAATAACCCATCACCTGTATAATTTGCACACAGGGGAGAGAGAATCTGGTTTGGGGGAAGACCATGCATCTATCCACTGTGTCTTTTTGGAGCCCCATTCATCTTTGCTTAAAATCTTATTTATATCCATACTTATTTCCCACAGCTCTTAAAGTCTTTTTATTTTTTTTTTTATTTTTTTTTATTCTTATGTTAATCCCCATACATTACATCATTAGTTTTAGATGCAGTGTTCCATGATTCATTGTTTGTGCACAACACCCAGTGCTCCATGCAGAATGTGCCCTCCTCAATACCCACCACCAGGCTAACCCATCCTCCCACCCCCCTCCCCTCTAGAACCCTGCTTGTTTCTCAGAGTCCATCGTCTCTCATGGTTCGTCTACACCTCCGATTCCCCCCCCCTTCATTCTTCCCTTCCCGCTACCTTCTTCTTCTTCTTCTTCTTTTTTTTTTTTTTCTTAACATATATTGCATTATTTGTTTCAGAGGTACAGATCTGAGATTCAACAGTCTTGCACAATTCACAGCGCTTACCAGAGCACACACCCTCCCCAGTGTCCATCACCCACTCACCCCATCCCTCCCACCCCACCTCCCACTCCAGCAACCCTCAGTTTGTTTCCTGAGATTAAGAATTCCTCATATCAGTGAGATCATATGATACATGTCTTTCTCTGATTGACTTATTTCACTCAACATAATACCCTCCAGTTCCATCCACGTCGTTGCAAATGGCAAGATCTCATTCCTTTTGATGGCTGCATAATATTCCATTGTATATATATACCACATCTTCTTTATCCATTCATCTGTCGATGGACATCTTGGCTCTTTCCACAGTTTGGCTATTGTGGACATTGCTGCTATAAACATCGGGGTGCACGTAGCCCTTCGGATCCCTACTTTTGTATTTAAAGTCTTTTTAGAGGGAGAGAATTATTAGTTGGCCTTTAAATTTCAAGTATTGTGGTGTCATTGCTGTGCTGTGACTTGAGTTGCATTTGGTCTGTAATACTCCTCTGAGATCTCAGACTTCAATATTAAGGTCTGATACATTTAAAAGAAAATAAACAGAAAGTGCATGATACATTTAAGAGAAAAGAAAGAGAAAGAGCATGAGCAAATATTTTTTTAATTTTATTTTATTATGTTATGTTAATCACCATACATTACATCATTAGTTTTTGATGTAATGTTCCATGATTCATTGTTTGCGTATAACACCCAGTGCTCCATGCAGAACGTGCCCTCTTTAATACCCATCACCAGGCTAACCCATCCCCCCACCCCCTCCCCTCTAGAACCCTCAGTTTGTTTCTCAGAGTCCATAGTCTCTCGTGGTTTGTCTCCCCCTCTGATTTCCCCCCCTTCATTTTTCCCTTCCTACTATCTTCGTCTTTTTTTTTTTTTTAACATATAATGTATTATTTGAATCACAGAGGTACAGGTCTGTGATTCAACAGTCTTACACAATTCACAGCGCTCACCATAGCACATACCCTCCCCGATACATATCACCCAGCCACCCCATCCCTCCCACCCCCCACCGCTCCAGCAACCCTCAGTTTGTTTCCTGAGATTAAGAATTCCTCATATCAGTGAGATCATATGATACATATCTTTCTCTGATTGACTTATTTCACTTAGCATAATACCCTCTAGTTTCAACCACGTCATTGTAAATGGCGAGATTTCGATTTTTTTGATGGCTGCATAATATTCCAGTGTGTGTGTGTGTGTGTGTGTGTGTACCACATCTTCTTTATCCATTCATCTATTGATTCACATTGCTGCTATAAACATTGGGGTGCACGTACCCCTTCGGATCTCTACATTTGTATCTTTGGGGTAAATACCCAGTAGTGCAATTGCTGAGTCATAGGGTAGCTCTATTTTCAATTTTTTGAGGAACCTCCACACTGTTTTCCAGAGTGGCTGCACCAGCTTGCATTCCCACCCACAGTGTAGGAGGGTTCCCCTTTCTCCGCATCCTCGCCAACATCTGTCATTTCCTGACTTGATAATTTTAGCCATTCTGACCTGTGTGAGGTGGTATCTCATTGAGGTTTTGATTTGTATTTCCCTGATGCCAAGGGATGTTGAGCACTTTTTCATGTGTCTGTTGGCCTTTGGATGTCTTCTTTGCAGAAATGTCTGTTCGTGTCTTCTGCCCATTTCTTGATTGGATTATTTGTTCTTTGGGTGTTGTGTTTGATAAGTTCTTTATAGATTTTGGGTACTAGCCCTCTATCTGATATGTCATTTGCAAATATCTTCTCCCATTCTGTCAGTTGTCTTTTGGTTTTGTTGACTGTTTCTTTTGCTGTGCAAAAGCTTTTTATCTTGATGAAGTCCCAATAGTTCATTTTTGCCCTTGCTTCCCTTGTCTTTGGCGATGTTTCTAGGAAGATGTTGTTGCGGCTGAGGTCAAAGAGGTTGCTGCCTGTGTTCTTTTCTAGGATTTTGATGGACTGCTGTCTCACATTTAGGTCTTTCAACCATTTTGAGTCTATTTTTGTGTGTGGGGTAAGGAAATGGTCCAGTTTCATTCTTCTGCATGTGGCTGTCCAATTTTCCCAACACCATTTGTTGAAGAGACTGTCTTTTTTCCATTGGCCATTCTTTCCTTCTTTGTCAAAGATGAGTTGACCATAGAGTTGAGGGTCCATTTCTGGGCTCTCTATTCTGTCCCATTGATCTATGTGTCTGTTTTTGTGCCAGTACCATGCTGTCTTGATGATGACAGCTTTGTAATAGAGCTTGAAGTCCGGCATTGTGATGTCACCAGCTCTGCTTTTCTTTTTCAACATTCCTCTGGCTATTCGGGGTCTTTTCTGGTTCCATACAAATTTTAGGATTATTTGTTCCATTTCTTTGAAAAAAGTTGACGATATTTTGATAGGGATTGCAGTAAATGTGTAGATTGCTCTAGGTAGCACTGACATCTTCACAATATTTGTTCTTCTTATCCATGAGCATGGAATGTTTTTCCATTTCTTTGTGTCTTCCTCAATTTCTTTCATGAGTATTCTATAGTTTTCTCAGTACAGATTCTTTGCCTCTTTGGTTAGATTTATTCCTAGGTATCTTATGGTTTTGGGTGCATTTGTAAATGGGATCGACTCCTTAATTTATCTTTCTTCTGTCTTGTTGTTGGTGTATACTTAATGAAGTTGTTCATTTCATGGTTTTGGGTGCAGTACCAATGATTACCTGTGATAGGTAATCATTGGTACTGTTTAATGAAGTACCCTGGTGGGGCACCTGGGTGGCTCAGTCGTTAAGCATCTGCCTTCAGCTCAGGGTACTGGGATCCAGCCCCGCATTGGGCTCCCTGCTCCACGGGAAACCTGCTTCTCCCTCTCCCACTCCCCCTGCTTATGTTCCCTCTCTTGCTGTGTCTCTCTCTGTCAAATAAATAAATAAAATCTTAAAAAAAAAAAAAAGAAGTACCCTAGTTCTGAACACTGTACCTATATAGGCCATAATTAGAAATCCGAAAGATGGTCTTGAATAACTGTTAGAAAATATTAAAACTACACTATCCATTATAGTGGGTGGATGATGACTTTCCTAACACTGGTTCCTTGTTATCCTCACTTGTCAAGCCCTTCTGCATTACTTAGCTTTGTACATGGCTCCCAACACCTGGATCTCCTTCCAGTTCATTACAACCACAGGCATGAAAATCTTAAAGTATTTTAAAATGCCAGTCTAACAGAGCTCAGAGCACCAACCTGAAGCTGAAGGTAGAGTTCTGGAAGAAAGGGGGGCTGTCAAAGGTCGTGAGAGACAGACAATCTTGTATGTCTTGTAAAGTTGGCAATTTCTCACTGTTTAATCCCACTGGATTTCTTCTTAACAGACCTTCATAAGTCCCATTACAGAGGGTGACCCGGCGGTTATAGTCATCCAGGCTAAGGGTTGTAAGGAGAGTAAAAATGAAATGTTTTAATTTGTGGATAGTATCATAACTTTGGGTCAAGCAAACCAATCAAAATCTTAGTCATGACAAAATCTTATTATAGTTACCCATCCCAACATGTTGGGGAGCACTATCGGAAAAGATTAGGGTGTAGAAGGGGGGAATCCCTGCTAGATTGGCCTACACCCCCGCAAACACATGCATGCCCAGACTAGGGGTGTGTTCAAGGAAGCTCGACAAAGACACTGGACAGGGGAGCTAGAGCCCTTAGGTTAAAAACAGGAAGATTTGGAGGAAACAGATAAATAAAGGAAGGCAGGGTCACCTGGGTGGCTCAGTCAGTTGAGCATCTGCCTTTGGCTCATGTCATGATCCCAGGATCCTGGGATGGAGCCCCCATCTCGCGCCCCTGCTCAACCAGGAGCCTGTTTCTCCCACTCCCTTTGCCCCTCCCCCTGCTCATGCTCTCTCTCGCTGTCTCTCGCAAATAAATAAATAAAACCTTTAATAAATGTATAAATAATAAAGGAAGGCGGAAGAGCGTCTTGGGGAATCTTTTTTTGAGATGTGTACTAGAAAAAAAGAAACAAATTTAAAAGGAATCACTGAGGACAGGATTCTCCATGGGCTACAAGCTGCTCATTTGCTTATGCTGTGTTCCTCAATACTTCAGAGATCATTCTCCCCCGCCCCACCCCCTGCCCCTCTCAGCTCACCATCGCCCGATGGTCTAGCTATACTGAACTGTTTCCAGAGACTTTCCCAGCTTCATACATGATGTTCCCTCCACCTAGAACACACTCACCACCCACCCCTCCATCTGCTTGTGGGGTGTGCCTCTGCCTCTTAGAGAATTCCCCTGACTCTTTTCTTGGCTTCACACTTACATCTATCATGATGCTTTTCACACTGTATTGTAACTCACTTACAAACAATCTGCCTTTGTAAATATAAAACGATATCCAAAAGGGAAGCTCTATTTTATTCATCTTTGTATTGTCAGTACTATTACACTGCTTGCAATATGATCGGTACTTAAGAAATGTTTGGCTGAATGCAGAAACGAATTCCAATTTTAAAACAGTTAATCTAGAAAGGATAACCAAGTCCATTCGATTCATAAGTGCGATTTCCAGACCTCTATTTTTTTTTTTTAAATAAGAGGGCTTAGAATTTTTTAAAATCCCACTTCCCTCAGGAAAATCATTTTCAGAAACATGTACAAAGAACCCAGCCTGCGTTAGAAACAGAAATATAAAGTGCCTCTCCATCTCCCAGACTTAGGAAAATACGGTCTCTGGATTTCCGGTGCAGGGTCACAAATACCATTACCTATCACAGACAATTTCCCAGCTGGAGAATCTTGAGTTCTGACTAATGAGAGTTGGGTCGTCTTGTCTTGCAGCCCCAAGCAGCTGGTCCGTACATACGTCACAGTCGTTCCTCCCGGTGGCGAAGTTCCAATAGGGCAAAGCAAAGGACTCATTGTCGATGAGTTGCTAAAAGCAAAGGGTGTGTCTAGTTATGTAACTCAATATATCAACATCAAATACAACAAGAAAGCACGTAAAGCAAAGACTGGAATGGGTCTTGACCAAATGCAAAATTCAAAATACCGAAGGCATAGTTTGGACCAACCTGGAGATCCCTTTCCAGCCACAGCAGATGATATCGGTGCCAAGAAACAAAGGCGGGGCCTTGGTGTGAGAAGTCTATGGCCTTGTACGGGCGCCCTGGTCCTAAAGCAATTGGGAAACATATTAAAGATCGTGGAATAGCACTTTTTTTTTTAATGCAGATCCTTACCCCAGTGAGATGTGTCTGCAGAGCCAGTAAGTCCAAGCTGTTCTAATCAGAAAGAAAAAAAAAAAAAAAAAAAAGGTTTTTGGCATTTATCTTTCTGAAAGCAAGAACAGCAACAACAAAATTCCAGAAGCAACCAGCACTTCTAGGATAAATTCTCCATCTCTCAAAAGTTTGATTGTCAACAGAGATCCAGACACATCTAGGTCGTTTTCAGCTTTGAGAGTCCCTGTCACATGTTTAATTTTTCAGTAACGTTTCATTAAGATGAAATAATGTTAGCCAAAGGGCTAGATCGTTAAGATCTTAATGAAATATATTTTCAAAAGATATTTTCTAACCTAGTCCTCACAAATGCACACACTTACAAGGGAAGGATTAATTAATAATAAAGCAACTTGGACTGCTCTTAGTCCTAATTCAGGCATTTATGTCACCAAAAAGAACTTTCATGGATTTTGCCTCCGCCCTCAGTCAGTTACAACCACCAGCTGACAAGCATGGTCGCCAACACTAGAAGAGAGAAAAATACATTCAAACCAATTTGGCTGGCCACTGGAACCGCCAATTTTAGTGAAAAGCTTCGGGCAATTTAATGACCCCCTTTACTGCCCATTCCATCCTTCTTCCGCTTTCATAAAAGCTTTTGATGGTTATGTAGAAACTTTAGCTGGCTTTAGTTCTTTTTCAAAGTACCTATAATAACTTCAGAGAGCTGAACAGACACAAATATAAATTTAATTCCTAGGTATGACCGGAAACTATAGTCCTCTTTCCCTCTTGAGAGAAAACCCTCTCATAAAGCAAAAATTCCTCTGAGCAATGACAGGAAAACTATAAAGGTTTATAGCCAGAAGAGCCTCCTTATCTACTGATAAAGAAAGACAGATGCTTACCTGAGAGGCAGGATTTTTAAGGACTCACACTGAGGAAAGACATGCTATCGCTTGCTGATGGCTACACAGTCCTTTTTAAATGTTTTAATTCAGAACAAAGCTTAATGTTCCCCAAACGAACAAATGAGGTGAAATCAAGCAATGGGGAACCAGTGATAAACACAAGGACAGACAATTCCAATGAGAATCTGACTATTCAAAGGGAGTTTGATGTCTTCATTCAACCCCAACAAGGGGCCCCAAAGGTGGAGATAACAGGTACAGCCAAAGAAAGCGTTAGGAGTACACAGAGTAGAACCAGGAATGGATTCACATCCCCCTGGAGCGAGCTGACGTCTGTGGCGTTCACTGACTGCGAAATATCCGAGGGCGTAGCTGGTCCTACTAGATTAATGAAGTTCCTAACAAACAAGCCCCCATTCCAAGTCTTACGCAGGCCCCAATTTTTAGGATCTAGAAGGGCGGGGCACCATTTTCCCAGGCATCCACTGTAATGGTTCAAAGGGCTAATTCAGGAGGAACTCTACATTGCTGGAGCAGCTTATGCTCTTCCTTGACAGTACAACTCCGAAAAAACCTGAGGATCCCCACAGCGGTGCACCATATCACAGGCACCATGAATGATGACCAAAAGTCTAAAGACTAACACATGCGGGTTTAATGAGATACGCACTTTCCACACAAACACTCTAATTCTGCGCAAAGAAGCTTCATGTGCTTTAGCACATGTTCTGTTAATTCCTCTAATTTGAGGAAAAATGTCAGAGAGGGCTCCCATGGCCAGATTTAGACATGTTTTCTTCTGGAATCAAAAGGAATTTGCCTCCGCTTCACCAACTCTTGCCTTTGAAGATTAATAGCTTCATAGAGGAGAGTTTAGACTTTGAACGCAAAACACCAACTACAGGAGAAAACATTTTCCCAAATGTCAGCCAACGTACTGGTAAACTGTGCTCCATCCTAGCTTCAGGCAGCATTTGATAATCCTCTGACTTTCATAAGCCTAACCCTTCCTGAGGTTGCTCTCTTGTTAATTAACTTGCCCTGAAATTACTTCCCCACCCATCCCCCCACAGCCCCAAACTATAATGATATACCCTCTGCTGAGAAAAAAAAAACCCACCTAATAATGTATCTCTAACAGAGTAATAATGGAGCCACACAAAGAAATCATAAATGCTGCAGTTGGCAATCTGTGGCTGGGTCCCGTTGGGCCCCAGCAGGCCGAGCCAATGCTGGGTGGTGATCACGTAGTCGGGGTGTGTCGTGTTCTTTGCGAGGTCTAAGGCGTCCAGGAACTGCTCCCTCTCCTGAGCAGTCAAGGAATGGATATTTTTCCGAATTACCGGGGCTTTCCTGTGATTGCAGTCGTGGCCGGTCCAGCCAAACTTGCAGACTCCACAGTTGTAGCCAGCAAAATGTCCTGGTTTATTTTTAAAAGGAAAAAAAAGGGGAGGGGGAGATGGAAGAGGGAGTCAGTTTTTGTAGCTTGGAAGAAATTTCTGAATTTGAACCCTGGGATAAAAAGGAGGAGAAGATGAAAGTGTTTGCAAAAAGGCAAAGGAAGCCAATTTCCTTCCCTTACTCTCCTCTTGAAATGTTTGCATCTCCAAGTGAACAGAGTACTAGAGTTCCTTAGAAATACTCCCAGCAAAGAAACAATATGAAAGGGGTCACAAGCTGTCATGGGTGGACACTGTCCCTTCAAAATTCGTATGTTGAAGTTCTAACCCCCAGTTCCTCAGTATATGACTGTGTTTGGAGCTCAGGTCTTCAGAGAGGTAATTAACTTAAAAATGAGGTCATGAGGTGGCCCCCAATCCAATACGACTGGTGTCCTTACGGGGTGGGGGGGGAGATTTGGCCAGTAGTCATTACAGAGGGAAGACCACGTGAAGACCAAGGGAGAAGACAGCCACCAACAAAGCAGGAGAGAAGCCTCAGAAGAATCCAACCCAGCTGACACCTCGACCTGAGACTTTAGGCTTCCAGAACTGGAGACAGAACGAGTTTCTCTTTCCTCCCCACAGCCCCAGCCCCAAGGCTGCCCGCTGTCTTGGATGGGCACACTGCTGAACCCTGCTATCCTGTGGCACACACAACAGGGCCCACACAGAGTGAGTGTGGCTCATTGATTTAGAGAAGGAAGAAGATATACACCCAGCTCAAGGTGGAACCAAAATAAATAAGCTGATTTCCAGGAATTTAGGTGAAATCTAACATTACAAAAGCTGGTTTATTTCACAAAGGAGACAGCGTTAAGACAAAAATCAATGGAGGCCGGCAGGTCATAAAGGTGAATTAGCTGCCACGGTATCACCAAGTGCAAATCATTGCAGGGCTCCCCGTCCACGGCACAAATGTCCCTGCTTTATCTACCTGGGGAAGGAGTACTAGTCATATGAACTAATAAGCATCTGCCTGATTAGCATCTAAAGTGGAAATTATTTCAGCTTGTCCTGGACTTTTCCCTTTTTAGTCTTGATTACTGCTTTTGGTATGACCAGCACCTCATTCCTTAGGTGGTGATAAGTTACAGAGTAAACATTTAAATATTATTGGAGCAGAAAGTTGAAGCAAAAGGGGATGGTAATGCTCATCCCCCAGGGGATTAGAGGGGTTACATAAAGCATTAACATGGGAGACCAACTCTGCTCTCTTCCTCCTCCCCCTACCTCCCTCCCCTTCCCCCTTTCCCCACCTTCCCCTCTTCCTCCTCTCCCTCCCTTCCTCCCCAAACCCCCTCCCCTTCCCCCATCCCCCTCCTCCTGGTCTTCCTCCTCCCAGACCTTTTTACTGGCTCTCACTTCAATCCACAGCACTTTTCCTTCATCATTTCCTTAAATTCCTCTTTGCCTGGGTTACCACTCCTGCTCTCTGCCTCACGATGGGTCGTCTACAAGGTCATCCTTGACTCAACGTGTCAGGGTCAGATGCTAGCGCCCTGAGCTCCCCTGGCACCTCATATGCTCCCTCCATTGGATACATCACACCAACAGTAATTATCTACTTGTCTCAGGTACAGACAACTGGAAGGCAGTTACCCCACCGCCGAGGCCTGTGCTCGGCCTTATACAAAATGAGTATTTGTTGCATGAATAAAAGAAATATAAAGCCAAGTCACCACAATGTGCACTTTAAAAATCGTACACTTTTATTTGTAGTCATACCTCAATAAAGCTGAAATTTTTTGGGAAAATTAACTAAAAACAAAGAAGTATAAAGCATGTGGTAGATAATCCAATAAACATAAAATTTCTTCTTCCTCTTTCTCCCTATCCTTGTGGATTAGAAGGAAAAGCAGGCCCTGTAAATAATTTTGATAGACTGTAAATACCAAAGCAGAGGTAAGCAAAAAATACTATGACCATAGTAGAGAGAGGATCATTTGAATTTCTACAGGCAAAGAAAATTTTACAATAGCATGAAACAAAATGATTAGCATTTGTATTATGTAAACAAAAATGCACAGGCCTCCCTTTCTATTAACCCAATGGATTTTTTGATGGTTAAAGAAAATGTCATTAAAAATATCATGAGTAGGAAAAATTTTTCTTAAGGTAATTTATTTGGGTTCTATGCTCCTCAAAACATACAAAATATCCTACCTATCCTCACAGAGCTCAGTTATCCGTAGTTTTCTATGCTTTAACATCATATGAAAACGTAAGTAAAAAATACTTAAACAGAAAAAATTCTACTAGTCCCAAGACTGAAACATGTTTTAGAATAGTTTCAGTTAAACATTAAAATTTACATTGATTACTAGAGTGAAGCTACTAAATAGAAATTATTTATAAATATTTATTGAGCAATTACCAAAGTACCAGATACTATACAAATGCTCCAGAGTTATTTTCCCCCAGGGAACCTACTAAAATTATATATCTGTTTCAAAACACCTTTGATTAAAACATATCACCTTCTCTGGCAGCTTTTACAGGAATAGAATATTTTTGAGGAGTGAATGAGAAAATGCATCCAAAGAATACTAAGTGCCCAAACTTCCAGCTACTTACGTAGAGCCAGATGACTGAAGGTGAATATAAAGCCACAGCTTTGCAATAGGAGAGTGAGTCTCTCCTTCGAAATGCTAAGGAATAGCACACCTCAATTTTATAATAATCAATTCAGTACAATTCTACATTTAAATGCATAAAACTTGTCTTTGAATTTTGTTGAAATTGAGTAATTCATAACTTATGCCATGAGTTTTAATATTCCTTCACTTCCTTTACCACAATTGTTTTTGGTTGCTAGAAACAAAATGATCAATAGCTAATTATCTCCCTCATTTGTTTATTCAACAGATAATTTATTAACACCGAACGCCTAAAGGGCGGTCAAAACTCAGCATGCCTCTCTCTGTGCTCCCACTTGTTATGTTGGAAGAAGTTTCCATGCTTTGTAGCTTTGGACTTCACTCTTCCAAATCTGTCATATTGGGATAAGAGTTCTACATCACAGAGTTCTCATGGAAAACAAGCCGGTTATCATATTAAGCACTTAGAACAGTATCTGGTACATAGTCAGTTCTCTATTGAGTGTTGTTATTATTACTAGATACCACATAGAAGCAGTATTGTAAATATTTGTTTTCCTGCCTGTCTTCCTCATCCACGACACTGTGGACACCTTAAAAATCATATTGCGGGGGCACCTGGGTGGTTTAGTCGTTAAGCGTCTGCCTTCAGCTCAGATCATGATCCTGGGGTCCTGGGATCCAGCGCCGCATCGGGCTCCCTGCTCGGCGGGAAGCCTGCTTCTCCCTCTCCCACTCCCCCTGCTTGTGTTCCCTCTCTTGCTGTGTCTCTCTCTGTCAAATAAATACATAAAATCTTTTAAAAAAATCATATTGCGTTTTTCCCCTCTTTGTACCTGAAGGGCCTAGCATCACTGGTGCTAAATAAATGTCAGTCAGGTAGGTGATAAATGAATCAATGAATAATGGAACAAAAGGCATTAGGTACTAGAAGATACAGATAGACATAAGGCACAATGTCTTCATCCAGGGGATGAGAACGCGTGTGCAATGAACCACCGACACAAGTCAAACTGTGGGGAAAAGTGAAAACAGAGGAATAAACCAAGCCCCACAGAAGACAATACGATTAATTCTGACTCAGAAGACCAGAGCTGCTTCACAATTATGTTGAGCAAAGATGTTTCTTTTTACAAAACCATGCTTGCCTCTGAAAAGCAACGTAGAAGGTAAGAAGAAAGAATTGGGGCGGGGAAGGAGGCAAAATGCGGGGGAAGGGGATTAAGAAGTACAAACTTCAAGTTAAAAATAAATAAGTCATGGAGTGTAATGGACAACACGAGGGATACAGTCAACATTATTAGGTAGGAACTTTCACTGCGCAGTGTATACAAATGTCGGATCCCTGTGTTGTACATCTGAAACTAAGATAATATCATTTTTCAATTATAATCCAATAAATTAAAAAAAAGCATTTGTCTGCATGTGAGCTCACCTATGGCCCAGAAATGTAAAAAAAAAAAAAAAAAAAAAATCCCTTTTCCAGCATCTCTCCAAAACCTCTGCAGTCGGGTCCCTTTAATGTTTAGAGCTTCTAAACATGGTCCAAAGAATTCATGAAAATGCTGCTGACAACGGAAAAGTGCAACAACATGGAAGCCCAGCACACAAAGTGCTTATTTCTCTAATTTAGATTCCCTAGTGGTTCCCTCCATCAACTTAACCTGAGTTCATTTATTCCCCGAATCTACCAATAGCAGCAGCAAAAACTACAAGACGGGCCTCTTAGAAGAGATGGCATTTTCTTACTGGAAAATGGAGAGAGAAAGAAAACTAAAGGATCCCGAGATACCAATCTATCTACCATGGAGTATGTCCTTCGGCAAAAATTAAATTTAAAAAGACAAAGTCGTAAACCTACTTAGGACTGGGAGAGCAATGGAAAAGAGAGTGAGAACAACCAAGCCAGGCACGTTCCTACATGAACCGTATCAGCTCAACCTCAGAAGGCTATTAGACTAAATAAGCTTAAAGACCACCGATTAGTGAATTTACAAGGAGCTCTAAATAGCCTATTCCTTTTAATTAGAGATTCTATTATTTTAATAACAATACTTTATACTCACAGAGAGCCTTTCATCTACAGAGCTCAAAAAGATTTTACAAGTGCGGTTTCATCATTATCCCCATTTCAGAGATTGGAAAAACGGAGGCACTTAGTCACTTGTACAAACAAGCAGTTCTTTGACAACTGTTCAAAAACGATTTGGTGTGCATGTTTTCCAAAAGTCCAAAAACACAGCTGCAACTGGTATGTTCTCAGAAACGCCATTGGCTAGTGAGATGTGTAAGGTGAAGAGCTAATGCCAAGTCTCCCGAAATTCAGCTCTTCCTGACAATTAAGGTTGGTAGGTTTTGGGTTCCAATTTATCCCTAGAGATAATAGAGAATAAAGAAGTTCTCTCTAGAGGATTTGAGCACATCATTTAGGGGGTTTCCCCTCCAGACTTTGTTTTTATTTCTCTTTGTTAGGCTAATATCTTCTACCAGCTTCAAGCTCATGAAGACAATGGGGTATTTTTTTATTTATTTTATTTTATTTTATTTTATTTTATTTTATTTTATTTTATTTTATTTTATTGTGGTAAGAACATTTAACACATTTTTAAGTGTACAATACATTATTGCTGACTCTAGGTGCAATGTTGTTCAGCAGCTCTCTTAAGCTTACTCTCATCTTGAAACTTTATGTGTACTGATTACTACCTCTCTATGTCTCACTCCCCTGGCCCCTGGTAACTAGCATTCCATGCTTTGATTCTATGAATTTGACTTTAGATACCTCATATAAGTAGAATCATGTCTTATTTGTCTTTCTGTAACTGACTTATTTCCTGAGTATAATGCCCCTTAGGTTCATCCATGTTGTCACATACTACACGATTTCCTTCTTTTCTTTAAGGCTGAATAGTGTTCAGTTGGATGTATATACCACTTAGCTAAAATGTGGAGAAATTGGAATCCTTATGCACTGTTGGTGGAAATGCAAAATGGCGCAGCCACAATGGAAAAATACAGTATGGAGCTTCCTCAAAAACTAAAAATAGAACTACCATATGATCTCGCAATTGCATTTCTGGATATTTGTCCAAAAGAATTGAAATCAGGATCTCATAGAGATATTAGCATTCCCAATAGCCAAGATGTGGAAACGATCTAAATGTCCATTGATGGATAAATGGTCTGTTTACTTTTCCATTGCATTAACAAAGTTCAGGGTCACCAATAGTCTGGTTTCCAGAAGCTAAACTAGATCTCTTCCTTAATAAATTTTGGGTGATCTAGAAGAATCCCAGGGGTCCTATTTGCAAAAAAATTATGAGGATAACAGAGAGGAGGGCTTTTGGGTTCAGGTTTTGGGATCAGGTTTAAATTCTGAAGACTGCTTCCCAAACCATGAAAAGCTACCCTTGGAAGGTAAGCAAATCACCCTTTGGGGGAGAATAAGCTGAATGAAGGTCCTATGTCTTGCTTTGGGACACATGACACATTACAGAATGGTGATTACTGTTTATACTAAGTTGGTTTCCAGCTCGGCCACTAGGACTTGGTCTAATGCCCTGAGACTCAAAGAATAAGACCATTTAGCCAACATAAGTGGAGCCATCCAGAGTTGGTATGGAAAGAGCTATGGTCCTGAATGAGTCTATACAGATCAAATCACGGAGGAAGGGAGGAGAGCCATAGGCTGGTAGTTGGTCTCAGGAGCAGCCAAGGCCTTGACAATGGCTGTCAATGGAGACCATACACACTGAGAAAGCTCTGTTCCTTGGGCTGACCTACAGACATGTGATGTCCTTAACAGTCCAGACTCACAGCCCAAACCCTCCTCCTGACCCACTGTCTCCTAGGTATATGTTTATCGTCCTCAGAACAGGGGATCCCTTTTTATGTTAGGAAGTGGGTCACGGTGACCCTAACTTCTTGTCACTTCTGGAGGAATATTTATAGGTCTACTTCCTGGAAAGGGAGATTATAATTATCCTTTTCTATTCTGCCATTCTCTATTCTCTCCATCCTCAACTTTAAAAAACAAAACAAAACAAACTTGCCTACCAGGTCAAAAATATAAAGTAGATGATGATAAGAAGAGGTAAGAGTTATATCTGGTTTCTTAATATCTTCTGCCCCAGGATTCCATAAATGGAGAAGCTCAGCCGTTGTAAGTGGTGGCACTCTATCGTTGATTTGGCCTGGAAATAAGTGTTCTAGAAGAACTTTTGAGTCATAGACAAAGAAGTTACTGTGTAGTGTGATTTTAATCACACAGGTAATATGAAACCTGCTGCTTCTCAGACAAAAGCCAGGAGAATCCATGAGATAATGTCTATAGAAGACAATGTTCAATTAGCTCAGAAAAAAATGGATAGTATATGTTCAATATGCTGTTTAAAACTTTCGTCACAATGAATACCCAACGCAAAACTGAGTTCCTTGGAATTGCAGAATTAGTAATATGACCACAAAACGATTATACAGCCAGAATTTTTTGCCTGTTAAAAAAACTAACACCATTCCTACATCAACATCGCAGTCCTTTGTACATTTCCTTAGTTTACCTTTTTATATCCCTACACAGCCCCATTATCTGGATTCCCTATGTGCCGGCATCCTATGAGAACGTAAGCAAAAAATAATAATTTAAGAAGGAAAACTTGGTATGCAGCTGGGTGGTGTAGAACAGTGGCCAAGGGCTTTGCTAATGTTGCCACATGCACTTTCTGTGCGTCAAATGCTCTGCCAGCCTTTGAGTGTTTATCACCGCTGTGCATGGCTGCTGAACACAGGCAGGCGCTACTGAAGAGGATTTGAGAAGGCTCAGAAGAGCTGGAGGCGTAAGAAATGCACAGAGATTTCGAAGAAGTCATAAGAGAGACCAAGGTCTGAAAGAGGGACACCGAGCAAATGGCGAAATGCCCACAGCCAACCCAGGCAAGGGCAGAAAAAGCCATTGTTATCTTGGGATTTTCCCTCCCCAGCTCGCAGAAGCTCTGTCCCACCACAGCCCTCCGACTGTGGCAAAGTGGCAACCCAGGCACAACCTTAACTAACAAGATGTACTCTGCCTGAGACCCGTTCCAAACACGAGAAACGCTGAGGCTAGGACCGTGGAAACACCTGCCTTGGATGCCTGTCTTCTAGATGCCAAGGCTACCCATCCCCCTCTTCTACAAGTGCAGACCCATTTCAGAAGCGGAGGCCACCGAATCCATCTTGAAAGGACTTGCTCTGAGCTTCAAAGCTGACTCTGGAGCTCGTTAGCTTCCCCCTTCCAACAAACAAGCCAATGGCATGTTGGCATGAGTTCACATAACCAGGCTTGGCCCATGTAATATCCATTTGGTTTCCATAACTAGATGTAACAGAGGGTGTGAAAAATAGAACCAAGACATCAGCCCGACTCAGTTCCTGCCTGTGAAAAACAAACTTGGTTGGCCACTTAAAGCCCAGTCTAACAGTTTTAAGAGTCTCATCTCCTCCTGAGAAGGGGCTCCTTTCCCAACTGGGGCCTCCCTACCCGGATCAGGGCATGGCCGGGTCTGCCGGCCTCCCTCACCTGTGCATCGGCAGGTCCGGTGGAAGAACTTCCTCGGCCAACCTTCTCTGTCATCCCGGTTCCGTAGCATGTAAGGACCGCTCCAGGGCCTGGTGTCAGCTTGCACCTCCATGCACTGGCCCCGGCCCTCCTGGGAGCCACAGATGTTGTCGGGCTCCGGACCCAGCGACGGGCAGCACTCCTTGGTCATCAGGCTGTCCACCGTCATGCAGACCCGGGGAAACTGTGCACGGGCTCCAGGCAGCATCCCACAGCCCAGGCAACTGAGCACAAGCCCCCACCCGAGAGGGCTCATGGCTTTATCAGCAGAACTCCCTCTTGCTTTCCACTCCCTGATTCTACCCTGCCTTTCTCCTCGCCTTCCACTCTTGAGCGCTTGAGCGCTCATTTAGTTGATTTTTGGTTTTGGGGGGTGGGGGAGTTGATATCGTTTTGTTTTGCGCTCGATTCCTCTCCTCTTTAAAAAAATACCTGCAAAAATCGCAGGACCCACGTGAGTGCACGTGTGTATATGCACACGCACAGACTATTTTATGTGATTCAAACAACTAAAACAAATTTAAGGCCATTAGAAGCGCCTCTAACAGCCAGATTTAATGAGGGTAGCGCTTCTCACCATCTTTCCCCCGTTAAATCAGGCTTTGTCTAATTGAGTTAATTTACGGGGTACTGCAGTCATACTACTTATTATACCGGTATTTCTAAACCCCTCCTTTCCTCCTTAGCCCATAACTTTAATTGCCTTGAACTCAGTTCAAAAGCCAAACACCGTGCTGCCTTTATTCGGTCTGGCTTGCCAAACCACGGGGCCTTGTGGGGTTTGGGTAAGGGCTGGGAGAAGCCATCATTAGGGGGATTAGGATTAGAGAGACCCTCATTGTTAGCACATGACCCAAAGCGCATAATGAAGTACATACAGTTGCTGGCTTTGTTTCCAAAGGGCAAAACCATCTTCATTATCTGGGCTCATGTGCCCCAGCCAAGCTTGTGACCTCAGACTTCCCCGGGAGTCAATAGATGCAGTGAGCTCCTCGTTGTTGTTAAAAGGCTTTTACAGACAAGCGTGCATTGCTAACCACAATCCACTCCTGACTGCTCCCTGACATGCTAGAAAGACCACTGCAGGAGGTCACACAGCTTCAGAAATAAAGAAACATTTATTTAGGGCTGACATACAAGGAATTGCTTTGTCCCACAATTAAGGGCCCCTTTCCCTCTAAATGAGAATGTACTGTTCTCCTATTCAGTACATCGAGGCAGTAGGTTTTTTTTTTTAATTACCCAAAGTAGCATGCCACCAGAAATTCCAAATTATAATTGTCTGATTGTAAGGAAGGCAGTGAGACAATTGGGAGCAAGGCCTTGCAAGTGACATCTTTTGATTCATGTTCAAGTTGAACGTTGTTAGGCTTCGGTCTAGAACAGAATGCTTCCCCCCGGTGCTTCTGGGAGCAGCGAGGGGAGGGTCCTGACCGGCAGTGATGGCGACTGTTAGAGCATCGTTTTACCCCTTCGTGGTGGAAACAGGACTGACTTAGGTCCGTTAGAGTCTGTGTAGACAGCCGACGTGCCCCGGCTTCCAACGGTTTCCAAGAAGATATTTGAGCATAAAGACAGGATGTTCCAAAGAAAATTCCTAAGGTTAAAAAAATGTTTATACAGATGTTCCTCCCCTCTGCACGTCTGTGTCATCCCCGAGATTTTAAGTTGTTGTGACTCATAAATGGCAATTCTCATCTCTGATTTACTCCGATGCCAGCCAAGACCCAAGCCCACAGAAGCAACATCTCTGAGGCTGTGGCCAGGCCAGGATTTGTTACAAGTTCTCTAAGCCGTGTTAATGTGCAGTCACGGTTGAGAAGCACAGGGTTAGAACAAAGCAGGGTTCCAAAGGAAATGTTGGAATAGAGTCAGCTGAAAGGTTCAATGTGTATTCCTTTCCTGAATCACCATAAACTGAGGGGCTTAAAATAACAGAAATTTTTTCCTCTCATAATTCTGAGGGCAGAAGTGCAAAATCAATGTGTTGATAGGACTGCACTGCCCCCGAAGGCTCTAGAGGAGAATCCTTCTTGACTCCTCCAGCTTCCAGTGGCTGCCACCATTGCTCTGTTTCCCTGGGTTGAAGCAGTATCATTCTAACCTCTGCCGTAGTGACATGACCTCTCCTCTTCTATCTCTGTCTCTCCCCTATGCATCTCCTATTAGGACACTTGTCATCAGATGTAGAGCCCACCTGGATAATCCAGAATGGTCTCATCTTGACATTCTTTCGTCAATTACATCTGTAAAGACCCTCTTATCAAACGAAGTCACCTTCACAGGTTCTAGGGTATGGACATAACTTCTTAGAGGCCACTGTTCAACCCCCCAAATTTTCTTTGGAACATTACAGCTCTGGCCCTGACCTCAGCTGTGAGCCCCAGACGCATATATCCAATTTCCTACTTGACCTCCCACTTGGAGATCTAGACATTTCTCAATTAACATTTCAAAATAAAGTTTTACTCTCTTCACCCAATTTTTTTCTCCATTAGTCTTCTTCTTCTTAGTTAAGGAGCCCCAGCACAATCCTATTAGTGGTCCTTGATTCTTCTTTTTCCCATCTTCCCTATATATGCTTCCCAATGCACTTAGAGTAAAATCCAAGGTCCTTTCCATGCACTAATCAAAGTGAAGGCCACAGATCCACAAACATGTGTTCCTGGTCTGCATCAAAATAAATACAATAAGGACAGAAATTAAAAGTGAGCATTTAGAAACTATCATGGCGATTTGGCATTGCCACAATGTTTAAGCACATGATCAATGGGCTCATCGCATTGAAGAGGAGTCTAGTTAGGAGGTTGTCAAACTTGCATGGACATGATCTGGTAGCATAAGCTACAGACTAATCCCATTGGGTTGCATGTTGGCCTGTGGCTGAAAAAAAAATTTTAATTATTTTTAAAATTTTTCACCGTGGATAGTTTGAACAGAACTGGCATGTAAGGTCCTCCATGAGCTGTGCGTTGCCCACCTCTCTCTCCCTCTTGCTCTGCCATCACAGAGCACACCCATCACTCTAGTACTCAGCCACGTCAAGTTCATTTCCACGTTGGTCTTCCTCCTGCCATTCCCTCTGCCTGGAATGTTCTTCAGAATCCTCCTTGTCACTCAGGTGTCGGCTCAAATGTTAGCTCCTGAGAGGTCGTTCCTGACCACTCACTCTACTGTGTCTACATCAAGCCCCCTACTCTCCACCGCATTGTGTTATTTTTCTTCAGAACACTTATGACTGTCTAAAATTATCCTGCTTGTTGGTTTAGCTGCTGATAGTCTGTCTCTTCTACTCTGGTATAAATTCCAGGGGAGCAAGAAATTTAACCATGTTGCCCTTCCCCGGTGCTAAGAATAGCATGTGGCAAAGAGAGGCTACTTGATAACAGTTGGTGAGTAAACATCCTCAGTTCAATTTTTTATGTTCATCAGAAGAGTCTCACCATTATAGGGATTGACTTTATACAAATTAAGTGTTCTTAATTTGACTATATAAAATAAATTTAGACTATTAAATACCACTATTATGTTAAGGGTTCCTTATAAGATTTGTTACACTACTAAAAATGTTTGAAAACCACTGGTCCAATCCAACACTGCAGCCTTGGCCCCCACCACATCACCACCAACAACAAATTCCCTCCTCACTATTTCTGACAAGATATCAGCAGCATCTGGTTAAACCCCTCTAATAAGGAGATTCCTTTAAGAAATAATTCTAAAGGTTAGGAAACTCGTCCTTTTTAATAAGTATTTAATATTTAATATAATTTGAATTTAAATATAAATAGTGAAAATTCCCTTCACCAATGTTTCCAGCAAAAGCCCTTGGGAACTCCCCCGACCCCAGCTCCCTAGAATGGGTACAGTCCATTTTCCACAGAATTTTGTTCCTTATCTTCTCTTTTTTCAGACTAAATTTCCTTAGTTTCTTCCATTTTTCCTTCATATGACCAATTTTAAATCCTCCCATTAGCCTCTACTCTCTTTTTCTGGAAAATTCAGTTTGCCATTTGACCCCATGGTGCATGTTTCCTATAAGTTAATTCAATATTCCTGATACAACCTAAGTAAAGGTACAACTATTCCTGATACAACCTAAGTAAACGACTAAAAAATTAGCTCATGAGGTTTGCTTAGCAGCCACATCACTCATCAATCTTGTTATCTGTTAGCTTAAGCTAAGTCAGGTAGCAATTAAGACCTCAAAATCTCATTGGCTTGTGGAACAGTGTCTACCACCCATCAGCTCTGGTTATGCTCCACATTGCCTTCCCCCCAGAACTCAGGGTGAAGGAGCATCTTTTCCTTACTCTCCTGATACTGCTTGTCTTGTAACAAAGAAGTCAGCGATGGGCCACTGCTTGAAAGGAGTCTACCTCGCTCATTTCTGCTCACATTCTATTGGCAAACGCACGTCTCATGGCCAAGACTGCTGTTCTCAAAGACAGGGGCTCTGTAAAGAGGACCCCTCCAGGAGGGTCAGCAAGTATTTTATTGCATTTTAAACCCACTTAAATCCCTACTCTTCTTTCATATAGCTTTCACGAAGCTTCGTCAAAGTCAAGTGCGTCTCCTATCTCCGTCCCCTATTCCTTTCCTCTGGACTTGCCTTTGGGGTCTGTATTAGTTTGCTAGGGTGGCCATAACAAAATGGCACAATAAAAAGAAATTTATTTTTTACAGTTCTGAGGGCTAGAGGTCCAAAACCAAGGTGTCAGCAGGGTTGGTTTCATCTGAAGCCTCTCTCCTTGGTTTGCAAATGGCTGTCTTTTTGCTGTCTCTCCTCCTGGTCTCTCCTCTGTGCAAATGGGCCCTAATACCTCCTTGTATGTCCAAATTTCCTCTTCTTGTAAGGATGTCAGTCAGATTGGGTTAGGGCCCACCCTAACAGCTTTGCTTTAACTTCACCTCTTGAAAGGCCTCATCTCCATATGACAGTCACATTCTGTGGTACTGGGGATTAGGGTTTCAACATGTCGATTTTGAGGGAACACAATTCAGCCCATAACAGGGTCAAAACACGAGTTTACTTTTATCTCTATTAAGTTAGAATTATCTTTTGATATCAAGCCGTCTGCCAACATGAAGACATGTCATGGGAAAGCACCAGGTGGGACTTCCAAGGCATTTTTGATGTGATGTAATACACCTCACGGTGCCATTTTATGAAGATCCGGGGGAGAGATTTCTCACAGGGCTCAATATCCAGGAAAGCTGTACTTTCACATAGCAACTAGCTTGTCCTGGACTTTTAGACCCCGTGGATCTTACAATGGTGTTTCTTTCTCTGCCTTGACCAGTTATGAAGCTTAGAGCCAGTTTGCAGGCCCCATGTCAAGCAACTGATTCACACAGTACTTATCTAGTTTGATATTTTCTTTCCCACATGTTCCTGGATTCTGGGATTCTTATTTTATCCTTTTGCAAATTTATGCATTTTTCCAGCCTATCTCAAATCTCTAAATATCAGATATAGATGTATATGTATAGATAGATATACATATATATATATATATATATACACACATATATGTCTGTATAAGTCCAAAGGTAAGAAACACCCAACCAAGTCATTGTTTGTAAGCAAGCCAAGGGTTAGAGAAGAATTCAGGAATTCTTGAGAACTTGGTGCAAGTAATCAGACATCTAAGAACCAAGCCAAGAGAAGCTAAGAAGATGTCTTGTCATGAGCATAGCTGTAATTAAATATTGCCTTATTTACAAAAGCAAAAGTCTTTGCTAGAGACTGAAGAGCAGAATCCAGGAGGAGATATCTCATGGGCTGATTGAGACCATTTGCTGCCAGTGGAAGCCATAAAATCACGGACTATTCTAAGGAATGTTCTGAAACCCAGTTGAGAGGAGGCTGGGTATCACAGAGCTAAATAATCTGAAAGTAGAGAATGCCTTATTAAAAAGCAATTTGTTTTACAGTAGAGGGAAGCATCTTAATAAAAAGAATGTTCTGCCTACTTCCATTTTGCATTTCAGCACCTAACACCTTCTTGCATGGAAGAGGGATTCAGTGCGTGTTCCTGGGAGTGAATTGAATCAGATCCTTGGAGTCTGTGAGTGAATGGTACAGGGTGGGCATGCAAAGCCTTGCAGATAAGATACCAGCCTGTGCTTCCCAACATTCAAAGGAGGAAGACATGGCTCAAAGCCTGGTAAACAATCCAATGGGGCAGTAAATGTTTTAGAGCTGTTGCTAAGGTTAATACAGAAAAAATCATTTACATCTTTCTTCTGCCCGTCAGTGAGTTGCCTGCCCTTTTCTCCACGCCTCTGAATGTGAAAATCCTCCCCGTTTTCAGTCCCTGCTGGACTCCTCTGCCTGATGCTTTTTGATCTATTCTCTGCTACCACATCATGGGGAGAAGAGATTATTTTTTTTCCCCTGTGTCCAAATTGTTTCCTAAATGCTGGGCATCTGTCCTGATAAGGGTTTTGCTTTCTACATCTAAGAGCTTTTCTTTTCTTGGTGGTGTAAATTGTTCTTCAGGGGAATTAAGGGTTAGGAATGTGCTGTGTGGTTTCTGATATTTAAGTCAGAGGCGGTCTTTCTGTCCAATTTGGGGATAGTCTGTCGCTAAGGCTGTGTTTATACATCAAACACATATTTTAATTTCAGATTTTTGCATCGCTCATCCTTATATTCACCTCAGCTCTTTGTGATGCACACTGCTGCCCTCCGATTCTTATTTTATCCTTTGTTTTTTTATCCCCCATCCTGGGAACAGGTATTAAGTTAGATTTTTTTCATGTGTACCCCTACAATTTAATGACTCACTTGGGTAGGTAATCTAGCTACTCCTCCTTCAAAATATGGATCTTTGGAAGGAGAGGAATCACTCCCCTTTCTGCCCACTTCTGATCAAACCCAGCAAGTACCATTTACAAGTTTGCAAGAAATCGTACCATTTGAAAATGTAAACTCTTCAGGACAGCTCTAATACTAACAGATCCACCAGAGTTTATAAAGGTGTGGCTAGAACTGTTTGGGGTCTAGAAGGATCACCAAAATGTATTGTCAAGTGAAAAACATAAGGTACATAACTGTGAAGTCATTGTGCTGACGTTTACATGTGAATGGGTTGGGGGAGGGAGGGAGGGAGAGGCCATGCCTAGCTAGCTGGGTGTAAGTGAATGGGATATACGCAGGAAACAAGTTGGCTGTCTTTGGGAAGGAAGCTTAAAGGGTTGGGAGATCAGAGAGTAAATGAGACTTATTTTTGTTCTATACGTTCGTACATTTTGGATTTTGAACCAGGCTATACAGTACTTATTCTTTTAAATTGTACATTAAAAAATTTAAGTCAAAAAATTTAGAATGAGGGACATTTGTGAGGATGACATTAGGCAGAGAAATTTTTTCTGTGAGTTTAGTAAAAGCACTATGGCTTTGGCACACCCCAGATTGGTTTTATTGATCTTGACCCTGCTACTTCCTAGTTCGATGACCTTGGACAATGTGGTTACCTTCTGTTAGCTCCAGCTTCTCCATCTGTCAATCCAAGATGATAATATCTAGGTTTATTATATGAAGTTTAATACTAAAGGTTAAATATGGCGCCACATATAAATTGCCTAGCAGAACCTGGCACACAGTAGCTACTCAGCAAATAGTGACTATAATTATTGTCATTTCCATAAAAGAAGCCATTGACACCACGGTCAACTTTTTAAATTTCTGTACTGGCAAATCATTAGTCTGACCCATTATGTCACGTTTTATTTGTTTGGAGAGCCATTACCTTCTTAATCAATAGCCCATAATGCCCATAATGCCTCTATTTCAACGGACAACCAAGAAGGGGGGAAAATCCCACTAGGATACTAAAAAATCCTCCCCATTGAATCTTTATCCCAAGATTTATCAATTAATACACACATATGCATGCACGCATGCACACAAACGCATTCATACCTATACACATACACACACCTAATCCAAGAACCTAATTTTAAGTACTTTCTATAATATGTTTCCTTCTGGGAACTAAATCAGTGCTTCTAACTTTGACATATGGAAAATATTCTCATCCATAATGCAATGTTTCAACCTAGAAATGAAAGGAACTGTTTTCTTTTCTTTTTTTTTTTAAGTTGTATTTATTTAAGTAATCTCTACACCCAACCTGGGGCTCAAACTCATGACTCTGAAGTCAAGAGTCACATGCTCCTCCAACTGGGTCAGCCGGGTGCTCTGGAACTGTTCTTTCTGAGATTCTGCAAGATTAATTAAGTGGTATGTTATGTTTATAGGTATACTATTCTCTTAGCCTTGGAACTTAGGAATCCCCATCAATTATAACAAAGATATGGGTGAACAAAGCTTAAATAAGCCACAGAGACTATGGATAAACCAGATTTGAAAGCATTCTTTCTAATTTTAAGAGCTGACCAAAAAGAATGCTATCATTAAAAATAGAAAAATAAAATAAATCTTCAAAAATGACTTGATCTGAATCTCGTGCTTTATACGAAGCTCATTATTTTTAACTGCTGTCAAAAAGCATCTAACCATGGTGTGTGTCTGATATTCTCTTTGAAAATGACTCCTTCTCATTTAATCTCAGCTGCTCTAATTCAGTTCCTTTTAATAAGCCAAGTGCACACACACACACACAGCCCAACAGAATAACTCTAAATTTCCAATTCATTTCATAAGCTATAGAAAAGAACTATGTTCTTACAAATCATGGCAGACAGCTGCCTGCCAAATGTAAATTTCCCTGTTATGAATTTTTCATTTCTAAAAAAATGTTCTAGTCTAAGAAGAAAAGCAGACAAAACAAGATAATTTCATAGAGGCTTTGGTTTAGCTTTTGTTATAAAAGAAGCTTATAATAACATAATATTTGTACAGTCACAAAATCTATTGAATTTATACCGTGGAAATGGATTCCCTCTTGAGCAGGACAGTTCAAAGGCCAGGTCAGAACTCAGCAGAAGATGCAGAAATGATGGAGGGATGAGCACCCTCGGTGGAAACATGTTTGTCCTCACTGAAGACCCGAGGAAATGTAAAACTGTACTTGAACAAGCAAAGTCATGGTGCATAAGGGGACTGGGAACCATGGAGGGTGAAGAGTTAAAAAAACAAAACAAAACAAAACAAAAAAAACCACACCTCCCTATCTGTCTTCAATTTCCACTGAGAAAAGTTGAACTCATAGAATTTGTGTGTTACCCAAGATTGCGCAGATGGTATATTAGTTTGCTATGGCTGTCATGAGGAACTGAAGGACAAACTGAAGCATTTTAAATTTTGAAGAGTTTATTTCAGTAAACATCAATTCAAATTGGGAAACCCCAAACCAGACGTGATTAGGAGCCCTCCCCCAACAGGAGCTGGGGACAAGGCTTTTCCTCAGAGAGTGGGGAAGCAAAGCAAGGAAACTATTTGATTGGCTCTAGCTTCTGTGGTTGCATCCTCTTCCATGAGTTCACGCTGGCTTAGGTTTTGGTTTGCTTATGTAGACGACGAGCGCATTAGAACCACCTCAGACCAATGGCCTCCTCCTCATTTGACTGCTTTCACACAACGTACCACAAACGGAATGACTTGAACCAATAGGCATTGATTCTCTCCCAGTTCTGGAGGCTGGAAGTTGGAGGTCGGGGTGCTGACAGGGCCAGGCTCCCTCTAAAAATAGTAGGTAAGAGTCTATTCCAGGACTCTCTCTCAGCTTCTGGTGGGTTCCTTGGCTTGTGGTAACACAACACCCCATCTTCACATGGCCTTCCCCTCGTGTGCCCGTATGTATTCAAATCCCCCCTACTTATAAGGATAGCAGTGCATTGGTTTCGGGGCCCACGCTGGTCCAGCACAACTTCATCTTACCTCTAATTAGATCTGCAATGGCCTTATTCTCAAATAGGGTTGTACACTGAGGTACTGGGGTTAGGGCTTCAACATATAAATTTGATGACAGGGGACACAATTCAGCCCATTACATATGATAAGTGGTAAACCTGGGCATCAGAGCTCATAAGCTCATGCACTTTTCGCAACGAGGTCACACTCACCACATTCTCAGGCTGCTGGGTTTAGAAGGAGAGACGGTATGAGTCACGTGGATGAAGAGGAGACACTGAAGAGAAGTCATCTAAGCCCTAGCTTATTTTTAGTGATACACTGAACTCTGCTTAATCTCATGGAAAATTCCAGATGGGATGGAGGGAAGCCCACTTCTGTGAAGGCTAGCCTGTGTCAGGCGGTACCGGGTTCTCCTTTCAGTCCACAGTGAGAGTTACCCATGGTCTCTGAACCGCATCACCCCACAAACTACAGATCTGGAGAAGAAGTTTAAAAATCATTTAGACCAGGACTCTCAATTGAGAAAACCAAGGCCTACCCATCTAGTCAGCCACGAAGCCTCAGTCTCCTGATTCATAGTGCGGTGCTCTTTCCTGACACTAGGCGATCAGGAGAGTAAAATATGAGAAATCTATTTCCTTATAGGGACACTTTTTTTCCTCTCATCTTTGCCTCAAGCATCTCATATTTAAAAGTCACTCTTAACTCCCATCTCTCTGGGGCCCCTGGGTGGCTCAGTCTGTTCAGCATCTGCCTTAGGTTCAGGTCATGATCCCAGGGTTCTGGGATTGAGTCCTGCTTCAGGCTCCCTGCTCAGCGGGGGTCTGCTTCTCTGCCCCTCCTCTGGCTTGTGCGTATTCTCGCTCTCCTTTTCTCACTTTCTCTCTCTCAAATAAATAAATAAAATCTTTAAAAAAAATTCTCATCTCTCTGCCAGCTCAACAGTGAGGGATGGACAGATAGCAAGTGCTCAGTACTATTTATTAAAGGAATTCATGTATGAGAACAAGGAAGCACTGTGCCTTTAAGGATAAACTTCAGGTAAACATCCACGTGGCCTCCTGCCTTACTTGCTTTTCCATCGATCTGAAAGACCCAGGGAGCTCCTTTACTTCCTTCTGAATTGGGAGGTGGCTTGGGCTCCTCCTGGAAACACTTTCCCTCTCTTCCCCTCCAAGACTTTTCCCTTGAACTGAACTCTTTATAGAGTTTCTGAGTGTGGCTGTTCGTCTTCTTGCAGAAGAAAGAGAAGCCTCCTTGGTGTGGCCCATCGCTGGTTGTCACTGGAGACGGCATTCACTTCTGGTTGCCACTGTCAGGGCTCCTTTGAGACTGTGCACAGCTGGATGAGCCCCTTCAGGAATGTTCCTTCCGTCAGTTTTCTTCCTACAAACAGACTTAATGTTTACAGGTGAAGTTATTCTGTCCGGAGTCCCCACAACCTGATGTTCTTTCACATTTATATGTTAACTTCATCCAAGAAAATAATCCAGATTTAGGGTGATTGCCGCATCACCCTTTAAAGAAATAGTTAAATATTTTAAGATGTAAAGAGAAACCTATCTTGAGGGAGGCCTTTATTAAACAGTGTGAGAGAAAGGGCCAGTGTTGCAGAATCCTGCTAAGAAAGGGAGCGTTGACTGCTATGTTCAAAGTTTGATGAGGACTCCATGCTGTCTCTTTTCCCTTTTTCTACTATTAAACTCTCCAAGGGGCGCCTGGGTGGCTCAGTCGTTAAGCGGCTGCCTTCGGCTCAGGTCATGGTCCCAGGGTCCTGGGATCGAGCCCCACATCGGTCAAATAAATAAATAAAATCTTTAAAAAAAATAAACTCTCCAAAATGTGTGATCTGTACTATAGTTCTGCAAGATGGTACCATTAGGAGAAATTGGATCAGGGGCACATGGAACCTCTTTGTTTTATTTCTCACAACTGCGTAGGAATCTACAATTATCATAAAGTAAACATTAACTTTACAAACTCTCTGGAAGAACAGAGTCAGCAAGCACACTGATAGAACAGCAGTTTCCAAGGCCCTAAAGCGCTCTAAAGGCTCTTCGTTGTTTTTGCAGTAACTGATGGAAGCACCGTATGATCACGCAGAATGACATTTGTCATTGGAATGGGTTCACCTTTGAGAACCAAGAGCAGTACAATTCTCCTTCTCTTTCAAGGCCTACTTCCTGGCTGAAATCTTAAGCACTCCCCTTGACTGACCCATTCAACTCAGTGAACGGACCCAGATAACTAATTATAGAGGGGTCTTTCCAAAGGAAAGGGATGGCTGTTTTGTTCATCTTTATATCCAACATCTAACACAGAGCCTAGCACCTAGTAACTGAATAAAAAATGTTTGTTGTAGATGTAACGGAATGAATGAATGATGGATGATAAATAATGACTCTCATTGCCTTAGGGCTCAAGGTGGTTAGAGATGGGAACCATTCCAAATTACTTGCTGATATCTTGCAAATCAAAAGCCCAAATCTGGGGCTTAACATAAAGTTTTTTCACACTATTTCTGATGACAATACACAAGTCATTTTCGAAAATTTGCAAAACACAGAAAAGGATGAGGAAGAAAACTTCAATCACTCATAATTGCACCATTGAGGAAAAAATTCTAATTAATCTTTTGCTCTTTATCATTGCAGAGGAATATAATTCTTCATTCCTTCAGTAGTCTTTTTAATCAAATTGGAATTATAATATGCACATTTTTATAATCTACTTTTATTCTCCATTAATTATACAATGAAAATGCTTTTCCATAATTCGCAGTTGTCAAAGTACAGAGCTAAAGAAGGCTGAAAGCTTCACTCAGTCAAAACTGTGGCAGTCATATCAAAACGTGGCAGTCATAGAGAGTGGAAGCATCCAGGGGGGTTCAACGGGCTTGGAAAGTTCATTGTATCAGATTGTGAAAATGCTTCATGCCTGTACCAAAGAGAGTAGAGACTCATTTGTAACATGACTCTGAAGGATAGAACGGTTTTGGCTATCATCATAACTGAAGTCAAATATAAGGAGCTATTTAATGAGGGGAGAGTCGACATTAGGACAAATCTCTGGCTGCATATTATTAGTTGACATCTTCAGGAGACTTGCCAACTTCTTGAAACTTATAATTCTACAGAATCCAGGGGAAATGCTTCCCTCTCCCTTGTGCTTCATGAAAGAAGTCAGACAAAATGGGTTCATACTATATGATTCCATTTATATCAACCTTAGAAAATGCAAACTAATCTCAAGTGACAGAAATCAGGGTGTTTGCCTGGCAGGTAAGGTTGTGAAGAGGGAATTAAAAAGGGCATGAGGAAACTTTGGGGCAGTAGGTACATTCATTATCTTGATTTTGGCAATGTTTTGCTGGTGTGTAAGTATGTGAAAACTCATCAAATGGTAGACTTGCGGTTTATCATATATCAATTATATCTCAATAAAGCTATTAAAAACAAATAAAGGTGCTAGAAGCAACCGAGATGCCCTTCAATAGTTGTATGCATAAACAAACTGAATGGTACACCCATAAAATGGAATTCTAGTCACATATTTTTTTTTAAAAGCCTTATCAAGCCATGAAAAGACATGCAGAGACCTAAAAGTATGTTACTTAGTGAACAAAGCCGATTGAAAAAGCTATAAACTGTATGATTCCAACTCTATGTCATTGTGGAAACTGTGGAGACAGAAGAGAGGTCAGTGGTGGCCAAGGTGTTCAGGGGAAGAGAGAGAGGGATGAATAGGTGGAGCACAGGGGATTTTTAGGGCAGTGAAATTATTCTGAATGACGCTGTAATGGTAGAGACACTTATCAGCACCCACAGGATGTGTAACACAAAGAGTGGACCTAGATGCAAACTACAGACTTCAGTTCATAATAACATATCAACGTTGGCTCCTCAACTGTAATAAATGTAAGGTGTTTAATAATAGGAGAAACTAGGGGCAGGGGAAAGGGGACATAGGCAAAATTCCTCTACTTTTTGCTCAATTCTTCTGCAAACTACTATAAAAAAATAGTCTATTAATTTAAAAAAAATTTAAGATGGGGGCGCCTGGGTGGCTCAGTTGGTTAAGCAACTGCCTTCAGCTCAGGTCATGATCCTGGAGTCCCAGGATCGAGTCCCGCATCGGGCTCCCTGCTCGGCAGGGAGTCTGCTTCTCCCTCTGCCCCTCCCCCCTCTCATGTGCTCTCTCTCATTCTCTCTCTCAAATAAATAAATAAAATCTTTAAAAAAAAATTAAGATGCCAACAGTTATAAAATGTGGAGGTTGCACCTCAAAGTTCAAATCTCAAGCTCATCCCAAAAGACTGGAAACTCCAGAAACTCTGCCTTCAACCCAACCGCAACCCCCCAAGCTCGCATGCCCAGTTCTTGCCCCCACATACCCTACATGCCCAGAGCCTTGTAAATCTTACAGTTAATGACAGCTGTCTTCTAGGGTTGGCCTCCCAGGGTCCTGCTCCTGGAAGACGCCCCCCTGCCAACCCCCGAAGACATTTCCCTAGAGATTTGATCTCATTCCTTTGTCACTCCATTCCCAGACTCCATCTTTTTGTTTGGAGTCTTTCAGTTTATTTTAGGTGCAGTCTGATCACTCCTTCTAACTGGGGGTTCCCTGAGACTAATTTCTTCTCTTTATTTTTGGAGATTCCCTAGGCAGGGTCCTACTCAAGGCTGCCTAATTGGGATTACTCATTGATCATCTCTTCCTTCCCTCCTTCCTCATGTGCACACACTCTCCCCTGTGCAGCAAAATTAGGGCATCCACGTATGAAATCTTGTTTAGACCTTTGCTGTCTGGCTTCTTGTGGGTCTTCTCTAACATTGACTTCATATTTACCCTTTTGTGAAGGAATGATTCATTTCAATGTAGAAAGTTTATAATGTATCAAGGAAGCCAAAGAGGAAGGCATTCACCCATTATTCCTTTATTCAAAGATAACTGTGGTTTACATTTTGATGTTTATACCTTCAATCTTTCTTCAGTACATAAACATAATTTTAAACAAAATTGTGATCATATTACATTCTGTAGTATAATTTGTTTCCACTGAACAATATATTATGCACATTTTCTCATCTGATTTTAAAGGCTATGTAATAACTCACTGCGCAATAAGTAATTGTGATGTTATCATAATAGCTTTAATCAATTCCTCAATTTTTGGACATTCAGTATTGTTTGCAGTTTTTCACCTGTATTAATAATTCTGCAACAAGCATCTTTGTCAATTGATTTTTATATTCATCTCTTATTTTCACAGGTTAAATTCCTAGAAGTCAGACTGTTGTGTTGAAGTACTTGTTTATTTGTAATGCATTTGTTACATGTTTCCAAATTGCCTTCCAGAAAGATTGCACCATCTCCACTCCCAAAAGCAGAGTACACGAGTGCCCAAGAAATGATTTCATCATTAAAGCCAAAACTTAAAGGACACATCGGAGTTTAAACTTAAGTGGGTTAGGGAGTGCTTGTCAAAATGTAAGATGCAAAAATTTGGAGAGAAGAATATAACATGAGACCTTTGTGGACCATGTCACGACACAATATTTCTGTTAAATGTTAATTGCTACTCACTCACTCTATGTTAATGGCTGTAGAATTGTAGAGAATAGAAGATCTGACAGTGTCTCAAAGCAAGAGAGAAACATGGTTTAACTGTAACACTTTTTAAAGTCATAAGAGGTTTACATGATCATTTTATATTTCAGTTATGAGGAATTTCTTTTAAACCTGGTTATAGATAATGTAATATAGCACCTCCTCAGAATTCACACAAAGACAAGGCCCAGGGACCTTGCCTGGCAAGTCTGTTGTATGAAAGAAACCTAGGTAGCAGGTTCTTCCCAGATGTGTGGAACATACCTGCATGCCTCTGGGCATTGCCAACTGACTCTTCCGTCTGCCTTTCTTGTTCTCCATTCAGTCTGTCATCAACATTCACTTACCTTCAATGACATGGTGCTCTTACCCAACCCTATCTTCTGACCTTGTTCTGAACCCTGTAAAGTGCAATCCAGATTAATCGACTCAGAACTTAAGAGGTGTATTCTATGCTAGTTGTTTTTGGAACGGATTCTGGCACGTTACCAACCTTTTCACCCATCTCAGAGATGTTACAATGGCATGTACAGATCTCATGGATCTTCTCCAAGTATGGGCTGGTGGTAAGGTGCATAATTTGCATGTGCTAAGGCATAGAAACAGGAACCGTGAAGAAGAGAAGGTATTTGCATGTGGTGTATTTTGGACTCGATATGTTGAGCATCCCTTTTTAACTGCCAAAGCATTAGGGTGGCAGCATTGTGTGAAATCCGGGTGGCCGTCAGTTATCAATATAAAACCAAAGTCCTACTGCTACCTACTACTGCTCAGAGATTTCCAAAGGTCACCAATTCAATGGAATGACCAGTTGTAGGTCAGCCAAATCCTCCTAGGCCGGTTTCCCAACCACCCCATATCGCCATGATCCCCAGCACCTTGGGGCAACCAGGGAGGCTACAAAATGCCCATATGCCAAATGTTGGCTTGCTATTTGCCAAAACACAGGTAGACCCTGTAGATTCCAAACAGAGGTAAATCCCCACGTTTTACAAGTGAAAACTCCCAAGCCTCCTAGGAATGATTCAAAGTTGCAGAACTGTTAGAAAATCTGATGGAGGGGCACCTGGGTGGCTCAGTTGGTTGGGCGACTGCCTTCAGCTCGGGTCATGATCCTGGAGTCCCGGGATCGAGTCCCGCGTCGGGCTCCCTGCTCGGCAGGGAGTCTGCTTCTCCCTCTGACCCTCCTCCCTCTCATGCTCTCTGTCTCTCATTCTCTCTGTCTCAAATAAATAAATAAAATCTTAAAAAAAAAAAAAATTAAAAAAAAAAAAAAGAACGAAAATCTGATGGAAAAGAGAAGAAAAGACATGGGCTGGGCCAGAGCTTGAGAAAATTATCCTGAACCAGAATGGTCTCACGAATGGAGCCAACTGGACTTACACATTGCCTATGTTTTCCTTTTGTTTCACTTGTTTCATTCTGAATACTCTTTAAATAAAATTCTTCCTGTCTGGGCACCTGGGTGGCTTAGGTCATGATCCCAGGGTTCTGGGATCTAGTTCCACACTGGGCTCTCTGCTCGGCAGGGAGTCTGCTTCTCCCTCTGCCCCTCCTCCTGCTTGTTCTCTCGATCTCTCTCTCTCTCAAATAAATAAAAATCTTAAAAATAAAATAAAATAAAATGCTCCCTGTGTAATTTTCTCCCTGTTATATCCACCCGCTCCCTTGGTAATTCTAAAGAGAAACAGCAGACCCTAACGTAAATAAAACTAAATTTCACTGCAGCATGTCACAAGATATCAAAACAACCTCAACGGATAAGCCAGGGAAAAATAAGGAATAAGTATGTCCATTAAATTGGTGGACTTTGAGTAAAGTAGATTATTCTCTACAGTGTGGGTGGGCCTTATCCAATCAGTTGAAGGCCTTAATGGAACAAGACTGACCTTGCTGAGCAAGAAGGAATTCTGCCAGCAGGTGGCTTTTGGACTTGAACTGCAACATCAGTTGTTCCGGGGTCTTCAGCCTGCTGGCTCACCCTGCAGATTTTAGACTTGCCAGCCTTGATAACCACGTGAACCAATCCCTTAAAATCTCTTGATAGATAGATGATAGATAGATAGATAGATAGATAGATAGATAGATAGATAGATAGAAAATAGATGTGAATATATGTATATATACATTCATATATAGAGAGATACACATCCCTCTACATGTATAAACACACACATACATACACACATACACATTCTATCGGTTCTGTTTCTCTGGAGAACCCTGACTAATGCAACCGCTCTATACTTTTCAGATGGGAAGATTCCACAGTTGTAAGAACAAGGCTATCTTTTGGGGGCCAAATAGAGCTGCTATCTTCAGGAAAC